TGTTGTTTTGAAATGTGTATGACAACAGTATTATCTTGCCCCTCCTGCTTTGGCCTCTGGCCAGCAGTATTTGTAAATAATAATAAAAAAATATACATAGCTTGAACGTGATGTCACTGTTTCGGTGGTCACATTGCGGCGGCCATCTTTATGAACCGCCGCTCGTACAGGCCGTGTGCGCGAGCCGTACGATTGCAGTTTTCAGTACGACGCAGCCGCACTGCCATTGTTGTTATCGTCCTGACGATCGTTTTTTTTTGTGTGTGCATCATTCCACCTGTTGGAACTAGGCACCCGTTAAATGCAGCGTACTACTCAGAGTTGTTAGGAGAAGCGTGTTCTCGATACGAGGAGAAGGGTCACTTGTGCGACGGAGTAAACCCGTACACACTTCAACCCGGAGCGGATAATACTTAATACATCTCTGCGATCGCAGCTAGAGGCACCGCACGGTGACATCGTGAACTATTTGGTTTTAGTACCAATTCTGTAACTTGGGCGAATTGAAGGCTTTCAGATCAGTGGAAGCGCACAACTATATACTTCCCCAGCGGCTGAAAAACAAAAAAACAAAAAGCCTGTCTGCTAAAGAGCTTCGCGACCGTAGAGTGATCGTCATTGCAGAGGTAAGTTCAATGGTTCATCAATTACATTCATACACCAGCAGGGAGTATATCAAGTAGCGATGCATGAACTCTGCCTAATCAACAAATGACGATGTTTGCGCTCAGCTCTCCCGCGAGCACGGCGAGGCGCTTACGTGGTGGCGCGTTTTTCGATTGCACCTCCCCGTTTGCGTGTTGCTGTTTATTTTGTCGTAAGTACAGCCGCATGTACAGTACGTGTGAGTGAACGTAATACTGAAAATTTAGTCACTGCGTGTGGACTGTCATCGAGAGGGAGCTGCATTCGGATTCATCCACACGAACGGGTGCCTTGGTCTTGTTCAGCAGCCGATAAGCGCGATGAAATTTCAAAGTGGCAGAGGGGAAAAATGAAGGACGAAAGTGCAATGTACTCATTCGCACAGGTCACGGAGGATTTCCTCGGGGCAGAAGGGTTCGTAATGCAGCATTGTTTGCTTTTTCGTTAAGAGGTGAATGGGCAGCGGTAGCGCCAGCACAGGTCTGCGACGTCGGCTCAGCTGCTGCGTGCACGATCGCCGCGGCGGAATGTCGTCGGCGCTGTTCGAACTGTGACGCCGCTTTTCCTCGCGCTCATGCCACGCAGCCGTAGCCAAGTTGCAGAGATGGCGCACCCAATCGGTGTTCGTCTCGTCGAACAACGCGGACGGCTTTCCTTCGAGCACAAGAGCATCCACGTTAATTGTTGTCTTTACGCTTCCTCTCTAAGTCGCTTATACCTTCTGCGAAGTAATCTCCACACACCCGAACATTGTCGTTTTGTTCATCGGAAAGCGCGCGCTTTATGCGTGTCAGCCAGGTGATCCGACGGTTCGCGCTGAGCGAAAAAGTTTTCGTACGCTCGCACTGGTCTTCAATAGCATTCGTCAATATTCGAAAAAAGCTCGTGTACTAGTGGGCTGCTTCTTTCTTTCCTTCCCAACTGTCGCTACGATTAGAGCAGCCTACAATTGCGCACATAGCCATTGCGGAGGAAGAAACTCGTAGGTCCAATGAGACGCGACTGAACAAGGCCTGACCATGGTTCATAAAAATGGCCGACTTGCTCCGTGCAGTGACGTCGAGTGACGTAGGAACAAGCTATGTATACAAGGTTTACTATAGTCCTAAATGGTATGTTGTGTTCAGTTGTGTTTTTGTTTTGACTTCATTATTACTGCTTTGAGGTATCGGGTCTATAGCTTGAAGTTAGAAAAGACGAGCTCTGTGCACGTTCTCTTGGTGGTTGTTGGTTGTTTCCAGCCATACGAAGTTCATCGCCGAGCATATTGAGACGTCATATGCTGCCCAAGCCAGTCGTTGTCTGTGATCATCATCATCATCATCTACATCGTGATCGTCCTCACAGTATAGGGCGGATGCCAACGACGCCAACGGACAAGCCTGATTACTTGAATTTCTAACATTTCGTACTGCTCACTAAACGATATCAGCGAAGCATTCAGTTACTATATTCACACTTGAAACCAACGGAAACAAGTTTTGATGCGTCATATATTCCTTGTTCTGAGTCCTGATTTAGAGAGAGTCGATTGGTCTTTCTCCTAGTTTCGTTTTATTTGCAGCGAAGCTTTTTAAGCTGCCGCAATGTGCGTGCCATATCACGATTCATAAAAGGGTATGTGCCGCGCACTACTCCCACAGTTGGCCCAACACTACAAAACGCGGAAGGCAACAGTGGCTGACAGAATGATTCGGAGTGATAGAGAGACGCCAACGACGGGCGCGTATATATCTATAGATCCGTGAGAGGTACTAACGCTTCTCTTCAGCTCGATCTTGTCTCTGATTAGACATCCACGTTGTGTCTGTGCCTGTATGAGGGGTGCGAGCACTTGGTTTCAGCGAGTTTCTTTCTCAGTAGTTTGGACATCCGTGTCGTGTCGGTCACGGTGTGTGGTTCAACTCGAAACTCTGCAGTGCTCTGGGAATCAACGTGGAAATAACCTGTGTGTGTTTGGAAAAAAGTGCTTAACGATTTAGAGTGCTCGGTACCCAGCATCCCCTATATGCAAAGCCTATCAATGACCACGAAGAAGCCTATACCAACAGACCTTATCACCTAGCTGAGGCCTATAGAAGGAGCCAGGTTAGAGTGCTCAGAATCGTCGGGTTTTGCTGTTTCAAGGCTTGCGCGGCTTGGTGCCTAATGTAGGCAAGCTTCGCCAATCTTTTTTGTGCATCTATGTTAATATTATTATAGAACTGGTACGTATTTGTTCGTACAATGCGCGTATGTACTTCTTACGGTGATATGTTCAGCCCCGCAAAATCTTCTCTATGTACTGGGATAACCAGCCGTAATGATATATATATATATATATATATATATATATATATATATATATATATATATATATATATATATATATATGTTGCGCACCTCACCTACTTCAATGTGTCCGACTATATATTAAACACGGGCAAGCTGAAGAGGAGTACGAGTACGTTTACACAATCTTGGTAATCGGCGGAAGTACTTCTATGGCATTTACTTACGTATTTTTTACGTTTAGATTCAGTCATAGCTACAGTTACTTGATTGCCTTGATATAATCATTGTGTTTGAATTTGCTAGATCTTTAAGGCAAGACATTGCGCTCAGGTGACGGGGGCTGGGGAGATAATCTAGGACGCTATACACATGCATATAGCAACGCGATGAGCAAAATCATCACACATTCCACAAGATTTGATGGAATAAGATACTATTTGGGACTAATAATAATAATAATAATAATAATAATAATAATAATAATAATAATAATAATAATAATAATAATAATAATAATAATAATAATAATAATAATAATAATAATAATAATAATAATAATAATAATCTCTATTGTCATATTGAGTGTTACAACATACATGACAGGCCTGTGAAAGCCTGAGCGTGGCTATGAGAACTATAGGCCTGGTTCATCGGCAAACGAGATGACACACATTGAAAAAAGCCTGTCGCATAAAATAACCGAATAAAAATTGATGCACGCAGTTCATTTACGCTACATTTAAAAACAATAACAGAATAATCCAACTAGCGGTCGCAATACTATTCAAACAGCATAATAACAAAAGGTGTAGTAAAATAATCAGCTGGAAAATCATTTTTAATTAGTAAGTATTGTTGATGTGTTATATTGTTCCTTCATGTTACGTAATTGTAATCATTTCTGCACTATACTGTCATTTGTATGTACAGGTGACCGGAACCTTTGCCAAGCCGTTCTCACGACTTCTAGCCTTGGTGACCTTCCAGTTATGTTTGGTAAGTAAAAAATTGAATTTATTGAATTGCTGCTAAGTTGAGGGTTGATCACATTTAAACAGGCTATACCCGGCATGAAGGAAAGTAAAAAAAAATATTTGCATTTTAATTGACAATCGAACAAGTATGAAGCAGAAACCTGAGCAATAATATTGATGGACCCTGTGGATGTGGTCATGCTTCAGCCGTTTCGGTTGACAGACAGACAGACAGACAGACAGACAGACAGACAGACAGACAGACAGACAGACAGACAGACAGACAGACAGACAGACAGACAGACAGACAGACAGATAGATAGATAGATAGATAGATAGATAGATAGATAGATAGATAGATAGATAGATAGATAGATAGATAGATAGATAGATTATCAATGCCTCCAAATTCAGTACAGTTACAACACCAGACATTTAGTTTACTATAGAAAGAAGACATTTGCAGAGAAACCATTGATAAACTTCATGACACTAATCTCGAGGCACGTTTTCCGTATCTTGATCTCTTTATCTGCCATTTACTTTTCGATGTTTTCTCTACGCGCACTCGCCCACACGTCCATAACTACGGGGTATATAGCTCCCCGACTCAAATTAAGAAAGAAAAAATAGTATTCGCGCTTGTTTTCAGAGCAGTGTCTTAGCGATGAAGTTCAGGAACAAGCAGTACCTACAGTACCTCACAGGACTGCGCATGGCATGTTGAAAGGCAGGAGCGCAACCTCAACAAAACATCGAGCAAACACAAACTAGCGGTTGCTCTCGTGGCATGCCTCGCCTGGCCCAAAGAAGAGGAGGATGAGTGGAACACGGCCAAGGAGAGAGTGGGCAAGGGAGAGAGAGTTCTTTCGTGAGTGGAGTTTGGCTTTGAGGTGCCGCGCCCCGCGCTTTCTCATTGGTCTTGGACCACCCCCTGCTAAGCCCGGCCCTCCCTTCAGATGCACTCGCTTCTGCTCGTCAGAAGAGGGTTCTTAAAGTCGCGCGACTCCGGGACGTGGTAGACGTGCGTGAATGCTTCGTTGGTGAGAGACCGGTAGCCGCGATAGGTCCGCCTTTTCAATGAAAGTCGCCTCCTTTCCCCCCGACATGCCTCACATGCCCAGTGTGTTCCATTCTGCTGCTCCGGACGATACCTGCCTACCTGCACCGACGGCTGACAGCCACTATGCCGTCCTCCAGGCATCGTATCAGCAGTGCGTATCCCGCCAACAGCAGCAGCAGCAACAGCGTCATCGGAGTCAGCACATGCCCCACGTAGTCGTCCAGCACCCGGTTCCCCAACTACTCCCCAACGGTGACGCCTGTCACACACGCATCCACCAACAGCACAAGCAGCAGCCGCAGCACCGAATACAATCATCGAACACTGCTGAACAACATCCGTGCATCGGAGAAAACCTGCAGGTGATCGCCAAGCGCCAACGCAAGCAGCAGCAGCACCACCAGAACTTCAAGAGGAGCGACTCGGACTGCGAGTCCTCGTCCTCGGAAGGTTCGCGGTCGCGCAAGCGTCCCTGCCACAGCTTCGAGGAACTGCAGAACCAGCGCATGATGGCCAACGTGCGAGAACGCGCGCGAACGCAGTCGCTGAACGAGGCGTTCGCCTCGCTGCGCAAGATCATCCCGACCATGCCGTCGGACAAGCTGAGCAAGATCCAGACCCTCAAGTTGGCCTCCATGTACATCTCCTTCCTGTTCGAGGTGCTCAAGAGCGACGAGACCGAGAGCAAACTGAGCAGCCAGTGCAGCTTCATCGCCAACGAGCACCTCAGCTACGCCTTCTCCGTTTGGAGAATGGAGGGCGAGTGGTCCTCGCTCTGATTCGCCCCTGCGTCAATTGAGAGGTGAGTGCGGCGTAGCCTTACTTAATCGTTCGGTATCGCTCTTCGCACAATTTTCTTCTCCTGATTTGCCCCTTCGACAGGTTTCCTCAGCTGACTGTGTCGCGTGTGAAACGTACATTCGTCACCAATACGTTCAATCATCGTGTTTCGTCCACGATTATACCTGTTATGATATGAATGCAACGTATTCAACTACCAGAGATACCTTTCCGCCTAAGCATTTAGTGTTGCGAAAACTTTCGCACTCGTCAACAGCGTTTAGCCGCTATGAAATTGATAAGGTAATTGCAGCGGTCTTTTTAAAGATGACGACTGTACAGGTGACGTCAGAAGTTTACACTCATTCAGTTCTGAGACAACCATGAACTTCGCAGCAGTTTTAGATGGTATTCAATCGAATTGTACATGTTGTTAGGGTTATTTAAAACACCGGCTGCCAGAATTCAAGGAAACCAGCCTAAGCATCAGAATTGTTCCGCTGCATTTTGTGTGCGCAGTACAAAATCTTCTGACGCCGATTGAACGTACTCGGGCCACTTGTAAGTATTTTTAAAACTAGTAGACTCTGTAGCGAGCTTTTGACTCTACTTTTATTTAAAATGTAAGACTTGTTGCTTCATACAGGACGTTCGGAGTTCATCGTTTGTGCAAATAACTTGTGACATTACACTATATCATAGGCCCACTGAGAAGAATCAGGACGGTAATCACCACAGTGGTGCATGTACTCAGTACCTACAACTATATTTTAAGAAGGAAAACATTCCTTTAAAAAGTGAGTATCAAGATAGAGTAAGAGGTGTCAATTCTATATATCCATATAAAGTAAGTGTGCAATGAAATGTGTCAACTGACGTTCATTATATATACTATATATGATGTACTGTGGACGCTTCTGCGCGTACTATACTCACACGAGTTTTAATTGTGATTGTGACGGAGACCAGTATGGGAGGTATGGGTATACAGCGTATACCCAAAGCATTGAATTGATTGATCCTGGTAATGTCATCACATTGCAGACAAGCTGGCGTAGCATCAGAAGCCGTGGATTTCTCTATGTATACAGGCTATAATATTGACGGGCGATGAAACTTTCACGCTTCGAGTTTCCATCGAGATATCATAAAATGGTCTGAATATACTCCTCCTCCGCTGTCGTCTCATACCGTAGCGATCTTGTCGACTCACCTGCATATAGGAAGGGATCGGGGCGAATGTCATCTGAAGCTGTTGTTTACCAATGTATGGATATCAAACTCGATTTTATACAATTTCCTCAGTTTGAAGTGTGGAGTACTAAAGAGCCTGATACAATATTTTGTGCGCAGAACTTTACAGCGGCCCGGGCTGTCATACACGCTGTTATTGTCGCATCGCGTAACGCAGAAAAAACCACGTATACAAACTGCAAGAAAAAAAAGTGGAGGGGGGGTAGTCAGAAATAGAAAGAGAGAGAAAGAAAGGCAAAACTTTATAACGATTAATATAAAGATGAAGAGAAGCAAAGAAAGAACACAAATAATTGAAAAAGACGAGCAGAAAAGAAGAGAAAATCGAAGAGAAACAAAGGAGGCTTGCCCAGCTGCACACTTTGTTCACGCTTGGCACCTCTGTTGCGGAGCAGCCTTAATTTTTTATACGTGTTTCTCTTGGGTGAATTTCCCAGCGCCACTTAGGGCTGATGCGTGCGGTGCACAGTTCCTTAAACTCTAGATTTTTTTTTTCTTTTACGAATCTTTGTGTTGAAGCGATTATGTATAGGCCTCTATATAGAAGCTGTGCGCGACTCTACTTATACAATAGATATGCACATGACAATTATGGCCAGCTCGCGCACGCGAAACTTCATTGACGTCATTGACGTTTGTTTTCCACAGCAAGACATTTGGAAAACACGAATGTCATACTTTTTTTTTAGGCAACACTGTTCTGTCAACTTCATATTTTACTACTACACTGTATAAACCGTCTTTGGATTTTCTCGCACGCGCTATTATTGCCCATGTGCAGTGAATTGTCGTAATCGCTGCTATATACGAAATTAGCTGCTGTTAAAGTGTATCAACAGTATGCCATTGTTTGACAATGTCAGGTGAACGAAGGATGCTTAACCGATATAGTACATCGTCAGTACACTTTGAGCATGATGGCATCATTTCTTAATGACTTCTGTTTATGCTTTTCTGTAATAAAATGCATGATATATCTGACTAAGTCATAGATATTGTGTAGTTTATGAGGTCACGTAATTTTCTTCTACTTCATGACCAAGCAGCGACTCGATAAGTGCTGATATCCTCCCTAAACAGAACGCGCTAGTAATAATAACAATATATGAAAGTAACAACAAAGGGGCTGCAATATTCTGCATGCAGATTTATCACTTACTCATATGTCCTGGTTTCAGTTGAATGTAAACATTCGACAGAAGTCTGTCTGGTTGGATATGAAACTGGGAGATGATTTATACTTTAACCAAAAGTTTTGAAAAAAAAAAACCGACGTTTCGAAACTGACTTGGTTCCTTTCTCAGGAGTGACTGCGAGGCTACGTGGCTGAAGACGCCACTGCTACGAAGCGCCGCAGTCACCCCTGAGGAAGGAACCAAGTCAGTTTCGAAACGTAGGGTTTCTTCAAAAATTTTGGTTGGAGTCTAAATCATCTCCCATTCCTGGTTTCAGGTTTCCTAGTACTAGCTGGTTCAATGATTTGACCGAGTTTAAGCATTGTCGGGGTTCTGTCTGAAAATACTTCTCAGAACACGTCACATGTTCAAAAGCTATAGGTAATTATTAAAATAATTTTCACTTATCTAAAGCCTCTTTTTTTTCTGTATCAGTTATTATCGTACCGTCTTCTCAGAAACCTATGGGACACAGTAAATGCAAACATTGAGAATTAGTGGTAAAGTGACTCTTAAGTAACAGCTTTTCCTATATTTTATAAGAAATATTCTAGCAAGCCTTGCTCTTGAGCTAATTGGTTCATTACGGGAGAAAAATAGGTACGTCACAAAATGGACGTGGGCGAAGTGAGGACAGGACCTGACATACTGGATCTCCTACTTCCAACGGTACCACCCTTCGCTCGATGCAATACGAGAGCAGCATTGATCAGCATAAACAAATAGTGATGAAGTTCACACAGCAGTAAACATCTTTTTGCATTGTTTGACGACACAAAACAGAGCTTCCCGCAGAAAAAAAAAAAGCACAAATCAGTGTATTCGCCTGATCATATCGCATTTGCTCGTACTGAATCAAGGACATGATCTCCACGTTCAAGGGAATTTTATGATCTACCGCACAGCCACGCATCTGCTTGAATTTTATGGTCTATTGTTTCTCTAGCGGATCTCGTGTTTGCTATTTTGCTTGAGTACGTACTTGCCTGTCCCTGGGTTCGACGTGCTACCACGATTCCAACGTTAACGCTGAGCTTGAAGCTATTGCCGGGAACAGATTAATGCATATCATCAATGTTTCCACTCTAAAGAAATATCTAGTAAAAAGGGTGTCTTTTTGTCCCACAACAATAATCGTCATCAGTCTTGCGTGCACTTCCTTTCTTGAAAACTCGGCACTGGCCACTTTCCTATCGAGAATGCAATGTAACCCTGATAATGGTCATGTCGATCGTGACCGGAATGTACCGGGCGCGGGACGATAGCGCAAGGATGGAACGCAATATGGATGACGATTATTGTTGTGGGACAAAAGACACCCTTTTTACTCGCTCTTTTTTAGAGTGTAGCTTTACTGCTACGCATTGAACATTTCTGTTAACAGCGTGTAGGGAAGGAGAAGTATGCTCGCACCATGGGGCACATTATGTCGACTCTGTTACTCTTGTTAAAACATGCATTAGAAGACAAGACCCAGCTTCGTCTTCTTTAAGCCACGCTGGGAATCAGCCGTTTGTCAGGCGAAGGTTCAATGCAAAGAAGCATGCTTGTCAGTCGGGAAAAGGGTCAATTCCTTCACAAAGCTGCTAGAAAGTAGCAGGTACGTATACGCGGATGAACAGCATTGAAGTAGAACGTAAATGCCAGCGCTTTGGTTCCAGGTAATTAGCACAACGGCAGGGCAATGAATATATGGCAACAAAAAATAACAACTTGGAGGACGTTTAAGCTTCGCCTGAATGCGAGAGCGTAATTGGGCCCCAAGCGCGTAAGCTTCTCGATTGATAGCCAGCCCAGCTTCTGTATTAGTAGATGCTTCAAGCACGCCCCAGGGAAATGAACGTCATTGCATGTAACATTGACTATACCCCTGAATAGGTACTGCAGGCAAATTTTACCGGTATACCCGCCGCACCATAATTCTTCCTTTTTTTTTTCGCAAACTAGTGAGGAGGACACTAACCGTTCACATATATAAGGCAACACACGAACCTACACAACTGCTCCGTGTGTTGATGCTTTTGCTGCTCATGATGATTGAATATGCCTGAGTGTTTCGTGATGGTTGGGCCTTTAATACCCCCCCTCGATGCGCAATTCACATGTTTTGACGGCTGGTGCATTTTTACGATTCCGCCAGGATATTATACGCCTTAAGGAGACTCCTTGCACAACACTGAATGGTATTCATATAGGGTTCTTTTTCCGAAGTAACATTAAGCAGAGGAAAGCTCGGTGGCAAAACACCATTTTGCCACGGAGAAGGCTTGGGTTCAGTATTTACTCGAACCACCATTTTTTAAATTATGTATATTACTTGCATCGGTCGATTTTTTTATTACGAACAGCAACGATGTTGCGAATGACACCAACGATGCTGTGACTGGAATTCCTGCGAAATGAGTGCCTTATCGCCACTGCGTTAATTCGAGAAATGTTGCAGTTTTTATTATGTGTTCTTTTTGTCGATGGCTCTGTATACGCTTTGCAGTTCCGCCATTACCAAAAGTACAGAGCACTCTAGCTAACATATATGCGAGAAATACACTTTCAACCATGAAGTTAAATGCTAAAGGTATCAGATGTCGAATGA